TTGATTAGGAGGCATCCCAGACACTGACTGCTTCAGGATAACAGGGCACTGGTGGTTCATGCCTGTTATCCTAGCTCCTCAGGAGACTTGAGATCTGAGGATCACAGTTTGAAGCCAGCTGGGCAGGAAGGTCCATGAGACTTTTTTCTCCAATAAACTACTCAGAAAAATCTTGGAGTGGCACTGTAGCTCAGGTGGCAGAGTGCTAATCTTGAGCACAAAGAGGCTCAAAGACAGCAACTAGGCCCTGAGTTCAAGCCCCAGGACAGGCAAAAAAAAGAACGTTCAGGATGCTGGGTGCTGGTGGCTCACACCTATAATCCTAGCTACTCAGGAGGCTGAGATTACAGTTCAAAACCAGCCCGGGCAGAAAAGTCTGTGAGACTCTTTATCTCCAATAAACCATGAAGAAAACGGGAAGTGATGCTGTGGCTCAAGTGGTAGAGCACTCCTCTTGAGCTGAAAAGCTGAGGGACAGTGCCCAGACCCAGAGTTCAAGCCCCATGACCGACAAACAAACAAACAAAAAAGCTTCAGAGAAAAGTACAAGGAAGGAATCTTAGCTACTCAGGAGACTGAAATCTGAGGATCACATTACCAAAGGATGCCAGTTTAGGCATACAAAATCCAAGAGACTCTTAACTACTAGCCTTCAAAATAGCCAGAAGTGGGGCTGGGAAGGTGGCTCAGTGGTAGAGCGCTTGCCTTGCATGCCTGAGGCCCTGGGTTTGATTCCTCAGCACCACATAAGCAAAAAGAAAAAAAAGAAAAAAAGCCGGAAGTGGCGCTGTGGCTCAAGTGGTAGAGTGCTAGCCTTGAGCTGAAGAGCTGAGGGACAGCGCCCAGGCCCAGAGTTCAGGCCCCACAACTGGACCCAAAAACAAAACAAAAAGAAAGAAAGGCCCTGACTTCAAGCCTCAGTACTGGTGTGTGCATGTGCCTCCCCTCCAGCAACACACAAAAAAAAAAAAATACCAAATCTATAAAGCAGGCTAATGAAGCCTCTAGATTTAGCTTTCATGTTGAACAACTCTGTGGTTGCTATTACATAACTCTGGCTAAACCTTGAGATCTGCTGCCACTTCTCAAGTGCTAAGATTAAATTTATAGCTGGGAAGGTGGCTCAGTGGCAGAGTTCTTGCCTTGCATGCATGAGGTCCTGGGTTCGATTCCTCAGCACCACATAAGCAGAAAAAGCTGGAAGTGGCACTGTGGCTCAAGTGGTAGAGCGCTAGCCATGAGCTGAAGAGCTGAGGGACATCGCCTAGGTCCAGAGTTCAGGTCCCATGTCCAGCCAAAAAAAAAAAAAGATTAAATTTATAAACTACCATGCCTGGCAGAATGCAGTTTTTAAATTTAAAAAAATTATAAGGGAATGAAAAAAAACAAACACAAAGAGAATTATGACATACATCTAGGTGATATATTATGTGGACTTTGGTTCCTGGCCCAAAGCTCTTGACAAGAAAATATTCTGAGGGGTTGGAAGTGTGTGTGACTCAGGTGATAGAGCACCAGCCAGTGAGTCAAAGAGTTTGAGTCCTGGTCTTGGACAAAAACAAAAAAAGGAAGGTAAGCCGGGCACCAGAGGCACACGCCTGTAATCCTAGCTACTTAGTAGGCTGAGATCTAAGGATCCTGATTCAAAGCCGGCCAGGACAGGAAAGTCCATGAAACTCTTATCTCCTGTAAACCACCAGAAAACCAGAAGTGGCGCTGTGGCTCAAGCAGTAGAGTGCTCGCCTTGAGCTGAAGAGCTGAGGGACAGTGCCCAGGCCCAGAGTTCAAGCCCCACAACCAACCAAAAAACAAAAAAGAAGGTAGAAAGGATGGATCTGGAAGTAGAAGTATGGGTCAGGTTGTAGAGCATGAGCTTTGAGCAAGAAAAAGCCAAGCAAGAACACAAGGCCCTGAGTTCAAGCCTCAGTACTAACACACACAAACACACACACACACATACACACACAAATTCATCTCTTAAAAACAAGCTGATTACAGTGCCTTATGCCTGTAATCCCAGCTAAATATAGGAGGATCATGGTTTGAGACCTTTCAAATCTCAAAGAATAATCTGGGTATGGTGATGCACTTTATTATAGTACCACTGCAAGGGAGGAATAGATAGGCAGGCTGTGGGCAAAAAACATGAGACTCTACCTGAAAAATAAACTAAAAAACAAAATGGCAGAGTACATGACTCAAGTGATAGATTGCTTGCCAAGCACAAGGCCTTGAGTTCAAACTCCAGAACTACACACACACACACACACACACACACACACAAGAAAATATGAAACTTGAACATGGACTGGATTTTTTTTTTTTTAATCAAGGGGCTTAAACTCGGGGTGGCCACTGTCTCTAAGGTTTTTTGCTCAAGGCTAGCACTGTACCACTTTGAGCCACAGCACTTGTTTGGGCTGGATTTGAACTGTGATACTGTGATCTCAGCCTCCTAAGTAGCTAGGATTACAGGTGTGAGCCACCAGCACCCAGCCATAGCTTGACTTTATACTATGTAACAAAATTACATTACAAAATAAATAGTGGAAAAAATAATAAATTGTGGTTAGGGGCTGGTGGCTCACGCCTATAATCCTAGCTACTTAGGAGGCTGAGATCTGAGGGTTATGGTTTGAAGCTAACCCTGGCAGAAAAGTCTGTGAGACTCTTATCTCCAATTAATCAGCGAAATGCCAGAGTAAAGCTGTGTTTCAAGTGGTAGAGTACCAGCCTCAAATGAAGAAGCCAAGTGAGATTGAGAAGCCCTGAGTTTAACACACACACACACACAAAAGAAAATATGAAACTTGAACATGTACTGGATTTTTTTTTTTTTGGGGGGGGGGGTCCGGTCGTGGATCCTGAACTCTGGGCCTGGGCGCTGTCCCTCAGCTCTTCAGTTCAAGGCTAGCACTCTACCACTTGAGCCACAGCACCACTTCCGGCTTTTTTCTTTTTGCTTATGTGGTGCTGAGGAATCGAACCCAGGGCCTCAGGCATGCAAGGTAAGCGCTCTACCACTGAGCCACCTTCCCAGCCCTGGATTTTTTTTTTTAATCAAGGGGCTTAAACTTGGGGTGGCCACTGTCTCTGGTTTTTTGCTCAAGGCTAGCACTGTACCACTTTGAGCCACAGCACTTGTTTGGGCAGGATTTGAACTGTGATACTCTGATCTCAGCCTCCTCAGTAGCTATTACAGGCATTAGCCTCCAGTTCCCAGCTGGCTTGGATTTTTTTACATTAAGGAGTTTGTTAGTCACTACTTTTTAAGTGTCTTTACATTAGAAATACTCAATACTAAAATATTTTGGGGTGAATATTTGAATAGCTAGTGGACGAGGCAGGAGATGAGCTGAGGAATGGTAGAAATGAAATGTGATTGGTCAGTATTGACAATTTTTCAAGCTCAGGTGATGGGACTCTGTTGGTTTATACATAGGTACTTGTCCTATATGTATTACTGACATCTGCTTTTGTTACCTTGTTTATTTTTTATTCTATTTTTTATTTCTTTTTTGTTGTTGTTAGTTGTGGAGCTTGAACTCAGAGCCTGGGTGCTGTCCCTTTTTCACTCAGGGCTAGCACTCTACCACTTTGTTTGTTTGTTTGTTTTTGCCAGTCCTGGGGCTTAAACTCAGGGCCCGGGCACTGTCCCTGAGCTTCTTTGGCTCAAGGCTAGCACTCTACCACTTTGAACCACAGTTCCACTTCCAGTTTTCTGGTGGTTAATTGGCAATAAGAGTCTCATTGGGGGCTGGGAAGGTGGCTCAGGGATAGAGTGCTTGCCTTGTATGCATGAGGCCCTGGGTTCAATTCCTCAGCACCGCATAAGCAGAAAAAGCCAGAAGTGGTACTATGGCTCAAAGTGGTAGAGTGCTCACCTTGAGCTGAAGGGCTGAGGGACCACCCAGAGTTCAGACCAACAAAAAAAAAGGAGTCTCATGGACTATCCTGCCTGGACTGGCTTTGAATCATCATCCTCAGATCTCAGCCTCCTGAGTAGCTAAGATTACAGTGAGCCACCAGTGCCCGGCTTTAATTTCTTCTTTCTGAAGAGAAATCTCACTGTGTTGCTCATAATGGTCTCAAACTCCTAGGCTCAAGCAATTCAATGGCTTAGCTTTCCAAAGTGACAGGAATTACAAGTACATTCCACTGCACTTGCCTTTGTAACTAATACTTTCCCAAGAAGGAAATAAGAATTATTGAATACTAGGACTGGAAAGGTGGCTCAATGGTAAAGCGCTTGCCTTGCATGCATGAGGCTCTGGGTTCGATTCCTCAGCACCGCATAAGGCAGAAAAAGCTGGAAGTGGTGCAGTGGCTCAAGTGGTAGAGTGGTAGCCTTGAGCTGAAGAACTGAGGGACAGCGCCCAGGCCCAACATTCAGGCCCCACGACCAGCCAAAAATAAATAATAAATAATTTCTTTTAAAAAAAAGAATTATTGAATACCAAAAGTGCAAAGGATTGTATATCAGAAATGGTGTATATACTCTGATCATAACTATGTAAAAATAGGAGTGACATGTTCAGGTTTTAGGCTGTGGTAACTTTTCTGACTTCTACATTCTCTGTGGTCTCATGAATTTTATGTCTAGATCTTCACATAAAATTGGGAGTGGTGTGATGGTGGCCCAACCACAGCTTTGTTCCTGGGCTCCCCCACCCCTTTTTTTTCAAATCATTCTCTATGTGAATATAACAGCTAAGTGCCTGATGTCTGTGGTCTCAAATGGCAGAGGTAAATGGCACAGGGATGTGAAGAGACTCTGAGCAGGAAATGTAGAGAAGAGCAGAAAGCTGCAATTTAGATAAAGAGGGTAGGAAGTGAAGCAGCTGCAGGGCTGAACCTAAGAATCTGCAATTCCTAGAAGTAAGACTGAATGGTCATGTCTGCATCAGAGTCTACTGGAAGGAATGGTCGGTCAGAGGAAGGAGTCCACAGCCCATCAGGACTCTGAAGGCTGACTGATTATTCTTGGTTCTATTCCCCAGGTCTGGTTAACAATGTGGTGTTCACCAGTCACACTATGGAGCAAAGGCACCCTCTCCTTGTGCAGCTGCAGAGCCTTATCAGGGCTGCCAACCCTACCGCAGCCTTCATTCTTGCAGAAAATGGGATTGTTACCAGGTAAACTTCTGCAAACTCTACAGAACCAGCCACTTTCTCAAACATAGCAATCTGCCTGTGGCACACAGGGTCTTTAAACTGTATTTAAGACCTAAGCATTATAGAAATTAGTTTTTGAAGTGCATTGATACTTAAAAGCCACCAAGAAGACCTCATTTGTCAGTATCCTATACTAGTATAAGGAGTTTTGGGGCTGGGAAGTTGGCTCAGTGGTAGAGCGCTTGCCTTGCATGCCTGAGGCCCTGGGTTCGATTCCTCAGCACCACATAAGCAAAAAGAAAAAACCCGGAAGTGGCGCTGTGACTCAAGTGGTAGAGCGCTAGCCTTGAGCTGAAGAGCTGAAGGACAGTGCCTAGGCCCAGAGTTCAGGCCCCACGATCGGACCCAAAAAAAAAAAAAGGAGGTTTTGTGTTGGTGCATTCACACTGTCATACATTGAAGAATAGAAATCCACCATAAGGTGTCTTATGTTGATTTGAGAGAAGTTGTATAGAGAACATAGAGTAATGAATTTTTTGCTTCACAGCCTTGGATTTAAATTACACATCAAAAATAGAGAAAACTGTTATATTGCAGTTTTGTTTGCTCAGTTTGTTAAAAGGTATATGGCTTATGCCAGGCACCGGTGGCTCAAGTCTATAATCCTAGCTGCTCAGCAAACTGAGACCCAAGGATCGTGCTTCAAAGCCAGCCCAGGCAGGAAAGTCCATGAGACTTTATCTCCAATTAACCACTAGAAACCTGGAAGTGGCACTGTGGCTCAAGTCGTAGAGGGCTCGCCTTGAGCTGAAGAGCTCAGGGAGAGCACCCAGGCCCAGAGTTCGAGCCCCACGACTGACAAAAAAAGGTACATAGCTTTTTATATAGTTTTGACTTCTCAAACATTAAAGGACTGGGGATGCAGCTTCATGATACTTGGTTTTTTGTTTGTTTGTTTGTTTGTTTTTGGTTGGCCATAGGGCTTGAACTTGGGGCCTGATTGCTATCTCTGTGCTCCTTTTCTCAAGGCTAGCTCTCTACAACTTTGAGCCACAGCACCACTTCTGGTTTTCTGGTGGTTAATTAGAGACAAGAGTCTCAGACTTTCCTGTCCAGGCTGGCTTTGAACCACGATCCTCAGATTTCAGCCTCCTGAGGATTACAGGTGTGAGCCACCAGTGTCCAGCAGATTCAACATAGTTAGTTACACATGTGTGAGGTCTGCGTTTGGTGTACATTCACACACACACATCTACACACACACTCATACAATAAATAAGCATGGAAGAAAAAAACAAATACTAGCCAAAACAATGAATCTGTGCAATTATATTCAAATAAATAATCAGGAGCTAAGAATGTGCCTTAGTGGTAGAGTGCTTGTCTAGCATGCATGAAGCCCTAGGTTTGTTTCCTTAGTACCATATAAACAGAAAAAGCCAGAAGTGGCGCTGTGGTTCAAGTGGTAGAACTCTAGCCTTGAGCAAAAGAAGCTCAGGGATAGTGGCCAGGCCGAGTACAAGCCCCAGGACTGGGAAAAAAGAAATAATTCAAGTAAAATATTAACATAATTCTATTGAAACCCTGACTCCACTAGAGAGAAGATTACACATGTGAAAGGCAAAAAGTGAGAAGGAATCTTTCAAGTGTTTGCTCAGAATTGAGGATACAGTAATGAATTTGTTAATTTTTGTAATGTATGTCCCTTAGCTTTCAATGGAAAGAGAATAATGCCACAATAACAATGTACACCCCTACCTTTAGATCTTAGTTTCTAAGTACCAATCCCTATCAAAAGATATCAGGACTCCTTGTAGGGCAGATAGCATGTGTAAGGCAGGAAAAATACAAGGTAAGCCTGGTCCAGTTTATGTCAGTAAACGAAGGAAGTACTCAAGATTAGTGGAGATGTGTGGGAAGATAAGAGAACTAAATTACAAGTTCCCACAAGAGCTGGACACTGGTGACTCATGCCTGTAATCTTAGCTATTCAGGAGGATGAGATCTAGATTGAGGTTTGAAGCCAGCCCAAGCAGAAAAGTCCACTAGACTCTATCTTCAAAATAACCAGCAAGGGGGCTGGGAAGTTGGCTCAGTGGTAGAGCGCTTGCCTTGCATACCTGAGGCCCTGGGTTTGATTCCTCAGCACCACATAAGCAAAAGGAAAAAAGCCAGAAGTGGTGCTGTGGCTCAAGTGGTGGAGTGCTAGCCTTGAGCTGAAGAGCTGAGGGACAGCGCCCAGGCCCAGAGTTCAGTCCCCACGACCGGACCCAAAAAAAAACCAGCAAGGACTGTGAAGGTGGCTCACTGGTAGAGTGGTCGCCTTGCATGCATAAGGCCCTAGGTTCAATTCCTCAGCACCACATAAGCAAAAAAACCTGGAAGTGGCCCTGTGGCTCAAAGTGGTAGAGTACTAGCCTTGAGCTGAAGAGCTGAGGGACAGTGCCCAGGCCCAGAGTTCAGGCTCCATGACCCACCCTCCCCCCACCAAAAAAAAAAAAAAAAAAATAGTAAAACAACCAGCAAAAAACAAGGCTGAAGATATGGCTTAAGTGTTAGAGTACCAGCTGAGCAAACATGAGTCCTTGAGTTCAGACCTTAGTACTGCCTGTCAAAAAAGCTCCCACAAGTCAAATTTGGTATAATTTGAATGCAATAAAGAACAATAATAATAATGCACTATAGTACAGTGATATTAAATATGGGGAGAGGACTGGATAACAAAGCCCCCCCTTTTTTTTCCCAGTCGTGGGGCTGGGGGAAAAATCGCTAACAAAGCCCTTTCTTTGTAGAAACAAATAAGGATTGACAGTTCAGTGATTGATGGTCTTATGTCTTCAAGAACCTGGGCCAACTCAGCACCACAAAACAAGAAAAAGGAAATCATTTTGTGGCTGAAAATGTATGGGGGAAAAAGATGCCTACTAGACCTCCAGAACAGACCACTAATCACTCACAAAGAGGAAAACTACCCTTACATCCTCAAGTTTGCCTAATGAGACATTCTGTTATCATGTGCCTCCAGGCTGTCAGTCATATGAATACCACCTGGGGATTAAACTTAAGCAAAACTATTTAACCTGAATCTAATTCTGAGGGAACAGTCAAGTCCAAGTTGTTGATGTGACAGCCCAGAGCCTGTGGCTCAAGCCTATAATCCTAGGTACTCAGAAGGCTGAGAGCTGAGGATTATGGTTTCAAGCCAGCCCAGGACACACCCAGACTTTTTTTTTTGTCGGTCATGGGGCTTGAACTTGGGGCCTGGGTGCTGTCCCTCAGTACTTCAGCTCAAGGCTAGTGCTCTACCATTTGAGCCACAGCACCACTTCCGGTGGTTTTCTGGTGGTTTATTGGAGATAAGAATCTCACAGGCTTTCGTGCCAGGGCTGGCTTTGAACAATGATCCTCAGATATCAGCCTCCTGAGTAGTTAGGATTACAGGCATGCCATCAGTGCCCAGCCAGAAACTTTTATCTTCAATAAATTACCCCAAAAAGTTTCTGATTCAGGGTGGGGCCCAAGATCCTACATTTCTAACCAGCCCCCAGTGGAAGCACTTCTGACTATACTGTGCAGTGGAAATGCCTTGAACGTGATAATAGTATTGTGGTTCTATAAAATACTTTCCTCAATTTAAGAAATGTATACTCAAGAGTTTTGGGTCCTTCTCCATGCAATTGCATGCATGCTTGCATGTGTATGGATTATGAGAGGGAGAAAAATGTGCAGGTTAAGGTTGTTAATCTTTTTTTTTTTTTGCCAGTCCTGGGCTTGAACTCAGGGCCTGGGCACTGTCCCTGAGCTTCTTTTGCTCAAGGCTAACACTCTACGGCTTGAGACACAGTGCCGCTTCAGGCTTTTTCTGTTTATGTGGTACTGAGGAATCAAACCCTGGGCTTCATGCATGCTAGGCAAACACTCTACTACTAAGCCTCATCCCCAGCCCAAGGTTGATAATTAACTAACCTGGATCTTTTCTGTATGTTTTTGAAGGAATGAAGACATTGAGCTGATTCTCTCAGAAAATAGTTTTTCAAGTCCTCAGATGCTACGATCTCGATACTTAATGTACCCTGGCTGGTAAGTATCATCATTGAAAAATAGCTAACTTTTTTTTTTTGTAAGCCCAATGGTTTATTTATTGATAGCAAAGCAAGAAAAAAAAAGTGAAAGCACTACTATGCTCTACAAAGAAGATAGTTGTTAGCTGGAATGCCCTGCCAGGATCCCTGTAGTCTATGTCTTAGGCTTCAAATTGGGAGCCATCCTAGATGTTGAGATTTAGGGAGTTATCTGTGGGCACAATGCTACCCAGTATTTTCTCTGGTGAGGGCAAGGTAACTGGCATGGCACAAGGAGTTCTGTCCTTCCCAGGTGAGAGTGTAACTAGTCCCCTAGGTTTCTATCTGACAGGTAGGCTCAGTGCCAAGAAGGCCCCTTCAGAGGTGAGTATGCAGTCAATCCATTGTAATCATACTCTGTCAACATCACCTAAACAGTCAGGTGTGAGCCGGGTGCTGGTGGTTCATGCCTGTAATCCTGGCTATTCAGGAGGTTGAGACCTGAGGATTGCAGTTCAAAGCCAGCCCAAGCAGGAAAGTCTGTGAGACTCTTTATCTCCAATAAACCACTAGAAAACCAGAAGTGGCACTGTGGTTCAAGTAGTAGAGCACTCCCCTTGAGCTGAAGAGCTGAGCGACAGCACCCAGGACCAGAGTTCAAGCCCCACGACTGACAAAAAAAAAAAAAGTCAGGTGTATGCTAGGTATTGTTCTAAAACTATACTCTTCAATGTGGTCACTTCTACCTACATGGCTGTTGACTGTAATACAAATTAATAAAAATGAAATAAACTTAGAACCAAGTACTAGTGGCTCACACCTGTAATCCTCGCTATTCGCTATTCAGGAGGCTGAGATCTGAAGATTATGGTTCAAAGCCAACCCAGGCAGGGAAGTCTGGGGAAAGAAGGGAGGGAGGGAGGGTGAGAGGGGAGAGAAAGAAAGGGAAGGAAGGAAAGGAAGGAAGGAAAGAAAAGGAAGAGGGAAGGAGAGAGGGAGGAGGGGGAGAGAGAGACAAAATGAAGGAAGGAAGGAAAGGAAGGAAGGAAGGAAAGGAAGGAAGAAAATTTACAGCCAAGTACTTGTGGTTCACACCTGTAATCCTAGCTATTCAGGAAACTGAGATCTGAGGACCGTTCAAAAGCCTTCCCCGCCCCCCCCCCCCCCCATAAGAAAGTACAAGAGGCTCCTATCTCCAATTAACCAACAGAAAACTGGAAGTGGAACTGTGTCTCAAAATGGTAGAACGCTAGCCTTGAGCTAGCAAAGTTCAGGGACAGCGCCCCAGGCCCTAAACAAAAGGCCCACAGCAACAAAAAAAAAAAACAGAATTTAGTCTCACATAGCCATATTTCCAGTATGCCATGGCTGCCTATAGTTTACAGCTATATTGCACAGCTCCAGAACATTTCCACCACTATAGAAGGTCCTGTTGGACATTGCTGCTCTAAGAGTTCTACCTGTGTTCTCATTTAGCCCTTATACCAAAGCTGTGAAGTAGATTCCATTTCTACATTTTGTAGATAAGGTAACAAAGGCAACTAAGGTACAGCTAAGCTAGTAAACAAAAGAGCTGGATTTCAAGCCCTGTTGTCTGGTTCTTGAGCTTGTTTTCTTAACCCTCGAGCTACACTTGGCCTTGTACAAATGGACAGTTCTGTCTATAAGTTTAGAAGGAATTTTTTACATCCTATTACAATTATATTGAAAGGAAAATAATGAAAACACCAGTTCTCAGTTTAAAAAAAAAAAGTTACACAAACAAGCACACTTTATGGCATCAGGAACAAAGTTTAAATATACGGAGACGTTCCTATCTACCAACCCAACTATTGTAATTCTCCCCAACCCTCTGAAGATATGAAGAAGGAAACTTTTGTGTGTGTGTTTGTGGGACTTGAATTCTGGGCCTGGGCACTCCCACTGAGCTCTTCAACTCAAGGTGAGCTCTCTACCACTTGAGCCACAACACCACTTCCAATTTTCTGATGGTTAATTAGAGATAAGAGGCTCACAGACTTTCCTGTATGGGCTGGCTTTGAACCATGATCCTTTGAGCTCAGCCTCCTAAGTAGCTAGGATTACAGGTGTGAGTCACCAGCGCCCAGCTAAAAGGAAACTTTTGAGGACAAAAGTGTTTAAGCCTTGGCCATAATTAATCTCTTCTTGTATCTAGATTATATTTGTTATTCTTAGTTCTTGAAGGCACTCTCTACATCCTGTATACTACCCCTATACCACCAATTGGGTATAGTAATCAAAATCTGCTCCAGGGCTGGGAACGTGGCTCAGTGGTAGAGTGTTGCCTTGCATGCATGAGGCCCTAGGTTCGATTCCTCAGCACCACATAAGCAGAAAAGGCCATAAGTGGCGCTGTGGCTCAAGTGGTAGTGTTAGCCTTGAGCTGAAGAGCTGAGGGACAGAGCCCAGGCCCAGAGTTCAGGCCCCACGAACGACCAAAAAAAAAAAATCTGCTCCAGGCAGTGGTGGCACCTAGCATTTAGGTGGAGGCAGGAGGGTTGACAAGTTGGATGCTATATATTGAGCTACATAGTGAATTCCAGGGTAGCCTGAGTTATGTAGTGAGACCCTATCTCAGCACCAACAGTAGTAGTCACTCTCTTTTAAAGCAGATAAAAAAATATTAAATTGGAGATTTTCATCAATATCTTTAGAAGCCTCTGATTTGAGTCAGATATTTTCCCAAATCACGGCTAGTGTGCCATTCCTTATTCTTTTGTTTTTTTTTTTTTTTTGGGTCTGGTTGTGGGGCCTGAACTCTGGGCCTGGGCACTGTCCCTCAGCTCTTCAGCTCAAGGCTAGCGCTCTACCACTTGAGCCACAGCACCACTTCCGGCTTTTTTTCCTTTTTGCTTATGTGGTGCTGGGGAATCGAACCCAGGGTCTCAGGCATGCAAGGCAAGCACTCTACCACTGAGCCACCTTCCCAGCCCATTCCTTATTCTTAAATAAGACAATTATATCTCAGCCTACCAAACACTGTAGAACTCAGGATACAAACATACTGTGTACCAAACACCACAGAACTCAGGAGACAAACCTAGTGCACGTGCATACCCGCGCGCGTGTGTGTGTGTGTGTGTGTGTGTGTGTGTGTGTGTGTGTGTTGGTACTGGAGTTTGAACTCAGGGCATTGTGCTCTTTCTTGGCTTTTTCACTTGACTTTTTCACTGGAGACCATTCACCTCTCTGTGTATGAGCTGTTGATGCTCTTGCTGCCTCTACCTGTGGAGTCTGATTTTAAAGTCTTCCGTTACCTAAAGAAGCTCCGTTCTCTAGGCCATGCTGACCCATGCTGAGCTTGGTGGTAGAGAATGGAGCTCAGGGTTCAGGCTTAGCTAGAGAAAGACTAATCCAGAAAAGAGTAGATATGAGGAGCTCATTAAAAGACTATATATAGAGAGAGGAGGCAACAAGTTCAACAAGAAATGTACTCACTACCTTTTTTTTTTTGGGGGGTGGGAGTCCGGTCGTGGGGCCTGAACTCTGGGCCTGGGCACTGTCCCTCAGCTCTTCAGCTCAAGGCTAGCATGCTACCACTTGAGCCACAGCGCCACTTCTGGCTTTTTTCTTTTTGCTTATGTGGTGCTGAGGACTTCATGCATGTAAGGCAAGCACTCTACCACTGAGCCACTTTCCCAGCCCCATATTCACTGCCTTTATGTATGTAACTGTAACCCCTCTATATCACCTTTACAATAAATTTAAATAAAAAAAACTCTGACTTTTGAGGTTTTCCCTGATTAAAGAAGACCAATTAATACTTCTAGGCACTGGTAGCTTATGCCTAGAATCCTCACTGCTCAGAAAGATGCTGAGATCTGACAATTGCAGTTCAAAGCCAGCTTGGTCAGGAAACTCCATGAGACTCTTATTTACAATAAGCTACAAAAGAGCTAGAAGGGAACTGTGGCTCAAGTGGTAGAATGCTAGCCTTGAGACAGGGAAGAAAGCTCAGGGACAGTACCTAGGCCCTGAGTTCAAATCCTAGGACTAGCACCAAAAAATAAAATATAGATAGATAGATAGATAGGCTTGGTGATCCCAACACTTGAGGGAGATGAAGGCAGGAAGATTACCAGTTCAAGGCCATTTATGATATGTAGCAAGTCACTTTCTTTAAAAAAATTTTAATGTTTTATTTGGTGTATGTGTTTGTGGGGAGAGAATATAAGAAAGCCTTCATGCCAAGAAATTGGCTATTTCGGGCTGGGAAGGTGGCTCAGTGGTAGAGCGCTTGCCTTGCATGCATGAGGCCGTGGGTTCGATTCCTCAGCACCACATAAGCAGAAAAAGCTGGAAGTGGTGCTGTGGCTCATGTGGTAGAGCACTAGCCTTGAGCTGAAGAGCTGAGGGACAGCGCCCAGGCCCAGAGTTCAGGCCCCACGACCAGACCCCAAAAGAAAAGAAAAGAAATTGGATATTTCATCATCCATTCATTTATTTACATTACAAGCTCAGTTCCTACTGCTTGCTAAGCAGATGCTCTACTTTTTTTTTTTTTTTTGCCAGTCTTGGGGCTTGAAGTCTGGACCTGGGCACTGTCTCTAAACTTCTTTGCTCAAGGTGAGAGCTTTACCACTTGAGCCACAGTGCCACTTGCAGCTTTTTTGAGTAGTTTGGGGGGGGGGGGTGGTTGTTGTTTTTTAGATAAGAGTTTCATGGAGTTTCTTGCCTGGGCTGGCTTCAAACTGTGATCCTCAGATGTCAACCTCCTGAGTAGCTATGGTTATAGGCATGAGTCACTGGTGCCCAGCTTTCTTTCAAAAAAAAAAAATCAGTCCTGGGGCTTGACTTCAGAGACTGGGTACTGTACCTGACCTTTTTTGCTAAAGGCTAGCACTTTACCACTTGAGCCACAACTCAATTGGAAATAAGAGTCTCATGGACTCTTTCAGGCTGGGTTGGAACCATGATCCTCAGGTCTTAGCCTCCTGAATAGCTAGGACTAAAGGTGTGAGACACTGGCACCCACCTCATTTATTCTAACAGGATGGCAGCAATCAGTCTCCTCTTTGTTTTTATACTCATTTATTCTAACAGGATGGCAGCAATCAGTCTCCTCTTTTTTTTTTTTGTCGGTCATGGGGTTTGAACTCTGGGCCTGGGTGCTGTCCCTCAGCTCTTCAGCTCAAGGCTAGTGCTCTACCACATGAGCCACTTCCAGTTTTCTGGTGCTTTATTGGAGATAGGAGTCTCACAGTCTCTCCTGCCCGGGCTGGCTTTGAACCGCAATCCTCAGATCTCAGCCTCCTGAGTAGCTAGGATTACAGGCGTGAGCCACCAGCGCCCGGCTTCTCTTTGTTTTTATACTTTACTCCTCTCCCACTTAGATCAAAGTTACCACTTAAAGTGGATAGGCTTTGGTTAAAGCACATGCTCATGTATAGGGATCCTCAGCCATTTCCCTCCCACAGTCTTGTTCTTGTAGACCCTACTCAAGACTTTGCTAGTAAAACAGTTTCTTGCTAATATTGCTAGTCCCCAATCATACAGTAAAATAGACACATTCACTTTTTTTTTTTTTTTTTGTCGGTCATGTGGCTTAAACTCTGAGCCTGGGTGCTGCCCCTCAGCTCTTCAACCCAAGGCTAACCTTCTACCACTTGAGCCACAGCACCACTTCTGGTTTATTGAGTGGTTTATTGGAGATAAGAGTCTCACAGACTTTCCTGCCTCAGATCTCAGCCTCCTGAATAACTAGGATTACAGGAGTGAACCACTGGCTCCCGGCTCACATTCACATTTAAACAAATGTTTATATACAAAATGGTATACATTAGGGGAGAATCATATAGGATAATAACACTGTTAAGCCCCAAATATATGTACTTAAATATTTTTAACTGTTTTAAGGTATGAAGGAAAATTTGATTCTGGATCCGTCTTTCCACTAATGGTTCAGATCTGTGTATGGTTTGGTCGACCCCTGGAGAAGACTCGCTTCGTAGCTAAGTGTAAAGGTGAGTGTTGACTGGAAAAGGTCCCTGGCTCCAGTGAAAAGGCACCCAAGAGTTGGTCCTACCTCCTGGAATCATTTCAGTATTCTGCATGCTATTTCTTCTCTCTGCTATTTTTTTTTTTTTTTTGAGTCCAGTTGTGGGGCCTGAACTCTGGGCCTGGGCACTGTCCCTCAGCATTTCAGCTCAAGGCTAGCACTCTACCACTTGAGCCACAGTGCCACTTCCGGCTTTTTTCTTTTTGCTTATGTGGTGCTGAGGAATCAAACCCAGGGCCTCAGACATTCAAGGCAAGCGCTCTACCACTGAGCCACCTTCCCAGTCCCTCTCGCTGCTATTTGTAAGGACCTTGTAGTCCCTTCTTTCTCATTGTGTGTAGCTAATTTGATCTCCACTCCATTGAGAGATTTTTCTCCATCCCTGATAATGTGAAAGAGGCTCCAGGAAAGATGGGGGTGGAGATAGAGGCTGTGAACCTGTAGTGGGTTCTTTCTCCAGTCCCTAGCCCTCCAAGCTGTATTGCCCTAAACTTGGCATCTGCCCTGAGATGGGTAACATCTCTGTGCTTTCTTCTCTTCTCCCCAGCAATTCAGTCCTCTATCAAGCCAAGTCCCTTCTCTGGAAACATCTACCACATCCTTGGCAAAGTGAAGTTTTCAGGTAACTTGGTAGTTGGAAGTGGAGCCCTACACCATGGAGCATGTAGCTCATGATGGGAGATTTTGTTGGTGGTTGTTTTTTTGGGGGTGTGTGTGTGTGTGTGTGTGCATGTGTGCATGTTTAAGGTTCTGGGGCTTGAACTCAGGGCCTGAACTGCTTTGTACTCAGGGTTGGTGCTACCACTTGAGCCACAGTGCCACTTCTGGCTTTTTCTGAGTAGTTTATAGAAGATAAAGCAAACCATGATCCTTAGATCTTAGTCTCCTGAGTAGCTAAGATTACAGGCGTGAGCCACCAGTGCCCAGCTTCATGATGGGAGTTTATAGCTTCTGCTGGTATTCTGCATACTGTTGATGCCTCTCTTAGACTACAACACCCTCCTCTGACCATACCAGATACCACTCTGCCCTAGGGCCCACTTGCTCCAGGTCTTCATACTCCACAGTGGAGGGACTATCCCTGGATAACCTTCTCAGACATCTCTCAGCTTCTTCTTTTTTTTTTTTTTTTTGGGGGGGGGGGGTCCGGTCATGGTGCCTGAACTCGGCCTGGGCGCTGTCATTTAGCTCTTCAGCTCAAGGCTAGCACTCTACCACTTGAGCCATAGCGCCACTTCCGGCTTTTTTTTTTTTTGCTTATGTGGTGCTGGGGAATCGAACCCAGGGCCTCAGGCATGCAAGGCAAGCGCTCTACCACTGAGCCACCTTCCCAGCCCCTCCTCTCAGCTTCTTGACTTCCTTGTTCCAGAGATTCCACCCCAGCCTTGAGCCATCCATGAACCTGTCACCAGGACCTGCCCATTTCTGAGTCCACCAGATCTCAGTCTGTGTCTGCCAAAGTCTGAGCCTCAGCTTGCTTCATTCTCTCTTCTGCGTAGCAGACCTGCTTATTAGCCTTAGGCCTCTAAAGGCCTTGCAACTTCATGGTCTCTCCTGAGCCTGGGAGTCAGAAAAGACCTAAAAACTGGTAGGAGTTGGGGCTGGGAAGGTGGCTCAGTGGTAGAGCGCTTGCCTTGCATGCATGAGGCCCTAGGTTCAATTCCTCAGCACCACATAAGCAAAAAGAAAAAAGCCGGAAGTGGCACTGTGACTCAAGTGGTAGAGCGCTAGCCTTGAGCTGAAGAGCTGAGGGACAGCGCCTAGGCCCAGAGTTCAGGCCCCACGACCGGACCCAAAACAAAAACAAAAAACTGGTACGAGTTAATAAACTTAACATTGAGGAAGCAGAGTCCATCCCTTTCCGCTGGACCAGCATTTACTATAGTACAGAGTCAGGATGAGGAAGGTTTATTATTCCTTGGAGGGAGAAAATGTGTCTGCTAGGGCACCTTCAGCTGGTATAACAGAAAACCCAGTTTAACTGGCAGGTGTTAGCTGTTTAGCAGGTGTTAAGAGGTTGGCCGCTGGTGGTTCACACCTATAATCCTGGGTATTCAGGAGGCTGAGATCTGAGGATCACAGTTCAAAGCTAAACAGGGCAGGAAACTCTGTGAGACTCTTTTTTTTTTTTTTTTGGGTCCGGTCGTGGGGCCTGAACTCTGGGCTTGGGTGCTGTCCCTCAGCTCTTCAGCTCAAGGCTAGCACTCTACCACTAGAGCCACAGCACCACTTCTGGCTTTTTTCTTTTTGCTCATGTGGTGCTGAGGAATCAAACCCAGGGCCTCATGCATGCAAGGCAAGCGCTCTACCACTGAGCCACCTTCCCAGCCCCTCTGTGAGACTCTTATCTCCAATTAACCACCAGAAAACTGGAAGTGGTGCTGTGGTTCAAAGTGGTAGAGCATTAGCCCTGAGCAAAAAAGCTCAGGGACAGTACCCAGGCCCTGAGTTCAAGCCCCACAATCCCCCCCCCCCCCACCCAAAAACAAAAAAGACATTGGACAGCAAAGGCAACACCATTAAGTATGTCTAATATTCTCCCATTCTTTGTAAGTTAGCTTATCCTCAGACTCTGCATCTAGCTAGTGGGGAGAGGCTGGGCCTACAGATGAGCAGGACTTAGCTCATTTGCAAAATCACTGGGCTCTCTCCTGCTTTGCAGGGCTCTTCCCAGTCTAGTGCAAGACATTGCTCCTCTTACAGTCTTACAAATTCAACAGCTAAAAAGTCCAGTTCCTACTCTCCTAAGTCTTTTTGTCTTCTTGTATTCTCTGCCCTGTTAGTATTATCCATCTGACCACCCTTAGCCAAGCCACAAACTCCTCCTACTCTTTCCTCTCTCATCCCAGTCTTTCAAACTTGCCACTAGTCACATCAGTTTTCTTGCAGTTTCTTGGGACTCTGTCTCAACTATTGACTTTTTTTTTTTCTTTTACTGGTCCTGGGGCTTGAACTGTGGACTTGGGCACTGTCCCTGAGCTCCGTTTTGCTCAAGGCTAGCACTCTATCACTTAAACAACAGCAGAACTGCTTCCAGCTTTTTCTGTGATTAATTGGAGTTAAGAGTCTCATAGACTTTGCTGCCCAGGCTGACTTTGAACTGCAATCCTCAGGTCGCAGCCTTCTGAATAGCTAGAATTACAGGCATGAGCTTCCAGTGCCTGGCTTAACCTCTGGATAGGGTCTTAGGTACCAACATTTGTTCTCCTTGCAGACTCAGAAAGGACCATGGAGGTCTGTTACAACACTCTAGCCAACTCCCTAAGTATTGTGCCAGTTTTGGAGGGACCCACACCACCTCCTGACTCGAAAAACACAACTCAGGACAAAAGCGGGCAACAGGAGTGCTACCTTGTGTTCATCGGCTGCTCCCTGAAAGAGGACAGCCTCAAGGACTGGCTTCGGCAGTCAGCTAAGCAGGTAACTTTGAACACCCAGAGAGAATATAGCATTTATATGACCAGCATACCCCAGGGCTGCTACTGGCCCCTGACAACCCCAGCCCTCCTTCTAGTCTGTACCTCACAGTCTTAGCCAGCACTTTTAGGGACATTTTGACAATGGGTAGAACCTACATTGGGGCAAACTAAGCAGATATGGTATATGTGCCCAGTGAGCCAAGAGCACAAGCTCTGCACACTCAGGGTGCAAAGCCTCTTAACACAGATTAAACAGTTTGTCTCACCTAGAACTCTAGGAATAGATGTGGCTAGGGCCTGGGTCTCTTGTAGGTACTCAATTCGGAGGCATAGGCTACCTCACCTAGATAAGCTCCTTGAATCCTCATACCTCAGCCTCTAAGTGTTAGGATTACAGGTGTGCACACCACTCCAGGCTTTGGATAAGCTCTTAAATGGTACTTGAATATAAGACCTTAAGCTGTCCCTTTTGTCTAGATTCCCAGGAAAGAGAATCTGCAAGTTGGCAGGTTAACATTAACAGAGCTACTGGGCTTTCTCCCATTTGTTCCCTCCTTAGGTGGCAGATAGGCAAGATGTTATGTTTAAGTCAAGCTAGTTCTTATGCTTTCCCTTTGCTGGGGGCTTCATCATGTAACTGACTCCCAGAGCCCTAGGCCTTCAACATTCCATGTACTCCCAACAACTCCTTTGCAACTTGTTCTCTCCCTCCATCTCGGCCTAGAAACCTCAGAGGAAAGCTCTGAAGACTCGGGGAATGCTGACCCAGCAGGAAATCAGGAACATCCACGTGAGTGTCCTTCCCTGGCCTCTCCCCCCAGGGGTCCAGTGCTGTCCTGGGCTATATAACTCTTGTCTTTTGGATTTCCTGAGGGAGGAACTGTTTATAGGGCATGCTTAAAGTCTTGCTTCTCTCAGACCACAGAGGGAAGCTAGTTATGACCAACCTTGCAGCTTTAGAGTAATGACTTGGACATGAAATGGAGGAGAACCAGTACCTGTGAGAGGTACAAGTAATGAGAGGCCTGGCCTTGTCACTCTGTTCATGTAACTGCAGACTATCTGTCCAAGATGAGCCATAACTAGGAATCAACTAGGGCCCAGAAAAAAACATTCTACATCCTGAGTGCTCACGAGAAAGCTTTCAGCTTCTGAGGCTAAGATGAAGTGCCCTTGATGAGCACCCTCACAAATTCCTAGGCTGATGCAGCCTCTGCCCCAGGTGGGCTCTGTCACTTGTCCCAGTGATGACTGGATGGGGCAGAGGAAGACTCTGGGACTCCTGGAAGGCCCTTAGCATGAAGCATCTACCAGCCTGGACAGCCTGCATACTCCTTGGGAGAGCACGGTGGGCATAACAGAAGACAGTACTCATAATGCAGGTTCCTCAGAAGCAGACCTGGAACAGGATTTGAGTACAGGTCAGTTGTTTGAGAAGGGATTCTAGGAGACATTAAACAATGTATATAGAAGATAAGAGATAAGAGAAGCAGAAATGGCCAGTGAAAGGCATGCTGATAAACCAGTGTTGCTGTGAACAGTAGAAACTTAATTCCATTAGGAACTCCAAGAAACCCTCCTGTGAGAGGCAGGGAATCACATCAGTCATTTGAGGTTACTATTGGTGTTACTGTAATCTTCTGCTTGTCTGTAGCAGAGTAGACTAAGACTATCTTGCTAGTTGTAATAGGCCAGTTTGTTTTTAATGAGTGAATATTAGAAAGTAGTCATAATTCTAACAGGATTCTTCCAATAGGTGAAACGCCATCTGGACCCCCTACCTGCAGGCTACTTCTACAATGGCACCCAGTTTGTCAACTTCTTTGGTGACAAGACTGACTTTCACCCACGTATCCTTAGACTCACCTTAGTCCCTGTGTGGAACCTGGGGTGGCTAAGCTGGGAAATGCAAACCTCTCTGAGGGACAGGTCTGCAGTCCTAGTGCTGGGATACACCAGGACAAACCTCAGGGTTGCGCATTTTATGTAGGCCTTTTATTTAATATTTATTTATTTACTTACTTATTTATTTTGTTGGTCATGGGGCCTGAACTCTGGGCCTGGACACTGTCCCTCAGTTCTTCAGCTCAAGGCTAGTGCTCTACCACTTGAGCCACAGCACTACTTCCAGCTTTTTCTGCTTATGTGGTGCTGAGGAAACGAACCCAGGGCCTCATGCATGCAAGGCAAGCACTCTATTACTGAGCCACCTTCCTAGCCCCTTCTGTAGGCCTTTTATTTTATTTTTTTTGTCGGTCGTGGGGCCTGAACTCTGGGCCTGGACGCTGTCCCTCAGCTCTTCAGCTGTAGACTAGCGCTCTACCACTTGAGCCTCAGCCCTACTTCCAGCTTTTTCTGCTTATGTGGTGCTGAGGAATCGAACCGAGGGCCTCATGCATGCAAGACAAGCACTCTACCACTAAGCCACCTTCCCAGCCCCTATGTAGGCCCTTTAAACTTGTTGAAATTAGAGTTGTCCTTTAGTTTGCAAATGGTAATGTTACTCTGTGGGGTATAGCTTGAATGCAGTTGTGGTAACATCCTGCAAGGTCATGATTTACAAGTTAGGAATATGGCCTGGCTATAGCGGTTCACCTGTGAAAAGATGGATGGTGAAATTTGAGACTGGGAGCTGCTATATGCAGGCTTCCATTCTAGGATCTCATAAAGGCCTTCTATCAACCCCTATCAGTCTTTGTAGGTGTGATGCTGTCTGTTAGGTACCTCAGTATCCCCTGCCTAACCTGCCTCTAGCTCCCTCTGGACCAGGCAGTTTCCCTTGTCTTCCAGGCTCAAGGCTCTCTTCCTTAACCACACACCACTCTCTTCCTTAACCACACACCAGTCATGGACCAGTTCATGAATGACTACGTGGAAGAAGCCAACCGGGAAATTGAGAAGTATAACCGTGAACTAGAACAACAGGAATACCATGACCTCTTCGAACAGAAGCCCTAGAAGCTGGGCCTGATGTCCACCCACAATGGGTGAATGAATGGGGTGTCAAGCCCCAGCTCTCCCAGAGGCCTCTGGAGGGTCTTTCTCTGTCCTCGTTGGCCTGTGTGTGCTGGCTTGAGTACATGTTGTCTTTGTTCTCTCCACAGCGCTGAACTCCATCACCTGCACCATTGCTGGGGGGTGGGGGTGGGATCTTCAAAGATGAGCAGTCAGGGCTGCCAGTATGCCTCTGATCTCTGATAACAGTATTTCCCTTGGTCTGTTGAGGCACCATGGGAGAGTGTGGGCTAACCATTTAGTTTGCACAGAGGAACTACTGGGACCTACCTACCCTGAGACCTAGGTATCCAGATACCCTGGCTATCCAAATGGTTACTATGCCTAGTAGCCAGACACCATCCCAAGATGGCCCTCCTCCCTGATGGTGCATGTTGTCCCTGCATCCTTCCATTGAAGGAGCTGGCCTCTGCTGGCCCTGGGACCTGTCCAGCAGGTTTGCACAAGCCCTGCCCAAGCCCAACCTATGGAGCCAGGAGCTCAGGTTGAGAATCATAGTACACTCTGAATGAGAAGGATTCCCTGATAAGCAAGGTTGAAAGAAAGGAATGATGCTTTCCAGAAGTGTGTAGCTCTTGAGGTAATGTTAACGACACTCCATGGTTGGTTCTTGAGCTCTCTGATAGCATGGTTTGATGTCCCAAGTTCAAAGACAAGAGCAAGCCCGCTGTCCAGGCTCCCAACAGTGCTTCCCCTTGCTGGCAAAAGGAGTGTCCTGTATCCTGCCTGGGACCTGATCACTCTTAAGGTGTCCAACTCCAACACCCAGTCTTCCTCCCATCCATACTAAGGAAGGACAGCTTTCAGCCATTCACTTCAGGAAACGCATGCCCCTAAACCTTGCTCTTGGCCCTGGATTTCTTTGGCTCCTGTGTATTGGGAGTTTCAGAGCTTCCATACCCAATCAGAATTCCTTCCAGTGGTTTTGTTTCTAACTGGACCATAAAACAGAGGGGAAATAAAAATTGTGTCCAGCTCAGCCTTTGAAATTAAGTGTGCAGTGGTAGGGGATCAGGCACTGATATTAGGTGATATCTCCTAGGACTTCAGCGCCTCAGTTGCTTGGATTGTAAATGTTTCCTGAACTTCACATACTTCTTGCATGCCTTAGGAAGAAGCACATAGTTGAAACCAGCATAGTTTTTTGGTAATGTAGAGGGGTTTTGAAAAAGACCCCTGGTGCAGAGGAGAGCCAGGATGGAGCACACATGTCCATATGCCTGGTCACAGGGAGCCCTGCATGCAAGTAGCAGAGCAAGGCTTTGTCAGTAAAATATGCTTGTATTAGAAAAGAAAACAATTTATACTTGAAGCCAAATGAACAAAGCTGCAAATACCATTATATCAGAAATCTTGCATTGAGAAAGCCTCCTGAAACTCAGGCCCATGTGCTCTAGTCTTAGCTCCAAAAGTCTAGGAGCCTCTGACTTCTGGCTGGCCAGAGGCCAGGGTCCACAAAGACCTTGCCTCTGCTTCAGAATCAGTAACATAGATCTTAAGTGCAATTGATTAATAAGCAATGAGTTACTGTAGCTTCCTTTAGCTCTACTGAGCTCTTTTTAAAAACTCGGAACATGAGCAGCCTTAGAAAAGGGAAAAGGGGGTGGGGGTGGGGGTCGACAGGGGAATCACAGGCCATTTAATTCTTTGACTGTGAAGTTGTTGATGGATGCTCTGGATGTCAGAGCTCAAGCCATTTCCTTGCTGCCCTGGCCTGGCAGTCTGGCTGCTGCACAAGAGTTTTTAAAGAGGGTTCAGAGTCCGCGGGACAGCGGGCCTTCCGGCCATGTGGGGCTGTACTACATGTCACACTTGGTTTCTGACCATTGTCCCTAGAAATGCTCTCTCACCAATCTGCCCCTCAGTCCCCATTCCTCTCCAGGTAGAGGGGAAATGATTACCTCAACTTGAATATGAAACTGTGATTGAAAAAAAAGGGCAAAATGTTAACAAGTATCAAAGCCAAAAAGGCAAAATGGGCTGAGGCCTCTACAGACGCTCCCCAGCCTGCTCGGGAGTGTGGAGGGGCACCCTGGTGAAAGGGCATTCCTGGGCACCCTGCTGTGCTCCTGGTGAAGGGCACAGCACAGCACACTGTGAGCTCTTGGTGGATCATCATGAACACTGTTCCCGAGAACCTGTTCTGATCATGGAGTTTTAAGACCCACTCTATCCCTTTGGGTCAGGGAGTGAGGTCTTAGGCTATCTCCAGAGGAAAAGCCGTGACACTGTGTTTTAGCTTCTGACCTCGGCAGTGGACACCAGGGACAGGCAGGGTCCTCCAGGGGCTGACGTGCTGCTGCCAGCTTCGTGTTAGCAGCTTCAGTTTCATGTCACCAGAGTGAATGTGATAATGGTGAACTCGCTGAAGTTAGGTGTTTTTTGTTTTAATATGGGGTTTTTTTTTTTTTGTTTTTTTTTTTTTTTTGATTGGAAGGGAGGCCGTAGAAATTGGAGAAATTGGAGATCACCCTAGCAAAGGGTCACTAGTGAGAAGTTGAATTGGCCCCACAAGCCCTGGGGCCCTGAACAAAGGCCTGTACGCTGGCCTAAGCTGAGATAAATCACTCCTAAATTGTTGGGATTTTGGAGAATTTTTGCACAGTAATAAGCTCTGGGTTGCTCTTTGGGCTTCTCAAAAGGGAAAAGTTCAATTCAAAGATTGTAAGCTACTAAGTATTCCAGCCATGTGGCTGAGTAGTTGGATAGTGTACCTCAAAAAGTAGGTGAGAAATGGCTTCCTTGTTGCTCCAGGGGGTCAAATACTAATGATATGAGCTCACTTACCTGCCAAAATTCACTTTTATACTAGTTTTTCAGTGCTTTAATATTTGTAACTTAAATTTTAAAACTCATATTTACAAACACTACTGTAACTTCAGTGAAACTGAATTGTGTGAATGAAGCTTTTTGCTTATTATAGTATTTATTACACTACTTAATTCAGTGAATATATAAAAGTAGCCTTCGATTTATTTTTATATTATTTTACATGTTTTTACCTGCAGTTGTGTACGTGAGTTTACCTTGGTAATTAAGATGTAATGCTAAGGACCAATAAACTATCACCCAACAAGCAAGGCCTCCATTGTTGTCTGTCCTGGACACTGCCCCAGGTTCCTTGACAAAAGGGGGGCAGGGGGCATTCCTGGGGACTCAAGGATCTTCCCAGCCTGGCTGGGATGTCCTTTCACTGGAGCTGCTATGAGACAAACCCTTGGGGGCTCAGAATGTGGCTTGATGGTAAAGTGTTCACCTAGTATGCATGAAGTCCTGGGTTCGATTCCTCAGTACCACATAAACAGAAAAGACTGGATGTGGTGCTGTGGCTCAAGTGATAGAGTGCTAGCCTTGAGCAAAAGAAGCTCCAGTGCCAGACCATGAGTTCAAGCCCAGGACTGGCACCAAAAAAATGTGGGGGAACCCTTAGGGCTCACACTTCCTTCCCTGGTTTCCACAGTTCACAAGAAGAAGCCACCTTCTCTGGCTAGCAGAGAGGGCCCTGGAGAAACTGGAGAGGAGCTTACAAAAGCCCAGTAGGAAAGCCCTCCCACCTCTCTACCTGCCAGATTCCTCACACACACTCTCATACCCTGTCCTTTTTTTTTTTTTTCTCCATTGCTAAAGATAGACTTCATGGCCTGGATGTACAAGCACTCCACCATGAAAAACATGGAACTATATCTCCAGCTCCTCTCCTAGTCTTTATCCTAGCCTGCAGTAGGAATGTGCCTTTACTGACTGAATGACCTGTAATGCACCTCCAGGTGACCCCTCAAACCCACCTTATAAATAGGAATTACTGGGCTGGAGAGCTGATAACAGACGGCAGAGCTACTGCCCTTGATTCCCTTAAAGCTGAGAACCCTCACAAACTCAGATCTAGAGTGGGGCCTTGAAACTGCCAATTCTTAAGGAGTAGTTGGCCAAAACCCTGGAGCTCTTAGGAACAAATATAAATTCAGGAACTATCCCTGCAGGTCCAGGTTCCGCTAGCCTAGCATCCACAGCAGGTGGCCTGCGGGTCTGGCAAGCTTACATCCTCTCCCACAGGCTCCACAGCTCCTGAGGGTGGGGAGAATCAGAGCCTGTGGAGAAAAGCGCTGATCTGGGAGGGGCCCTTTCAGTCAATTCCTACCCCCAGAGGCCTCAGGCTTGCCTCCAGGGGAGGCAGTGTTCCTGTGACCTGGAGTTTGAAAATCTAAGGTTACAAGTTCTGTGAGTCCTGTACAAGGCTACGTGGGAAGCTTCTGGTCGATGGGAGGGGGTGACCACAGTGTCACCCTCCCCCCAGTCCACATCACCCAGCTTCCTGCCACTCATCCTGGTGGCCGTACACCCAAGCTCCTTTACCAACCCACAGACTTTAGGGATGGTTCCCCCAAGGAACTGCAAGCAGAAGTTAGTGGGGGGGGAGATAGAAGTATAGAAGGGTTTCTTAGCTAGAGTGAATAGTGTGTTTATGTGGGAGCTTGGATGTTAGGAAGCAGGGATGGAACAGCATCTTCAACCTGGAGATCTCAGTGGGGACCTGGGACTACTGAGAACTGCTTGATAGAGAGGAGGAGCCACAGAACCTGAGAAACCTAAGTGTGATTTAGAGCTGAGGATTTCATGTGGCGTTGTAGTGAGGAACACCAGAAACAGGGATATACCAATTTTTGTCACACAGGGTAGAACAGTTGTGTCCAAACAACACAGCCACAGCCCATGACAAAGGGAACAGCTTGGTTCCGGTATACAGGGCCTGGAGTGGTACTAGCCTCAATTCCAGCATCGAGACATCGATGGCATCAAGACACCCTCTATGCTGGGTAGGGTAGCCTCACTCCCCGCCAGCAGTGAGCTGTCATTGCTTCCAGCAACACAACCCACCAAAAGCAAGACCCCACCTGCTCTAAAGGGGTTCCCAAAATCTGGGGTTCCATTCCTATTCCTAAACCAGACACTGGTCAGGAAAATGGGCTCATTCTGATAGGCCTGGCCAAAGGTCACTTCCACAGGCCCCTTTGGGAGCTTGTTCCCCAGACCGGCATTGTGGTTCCTCCCCTGCAGGTCAGATACCATTCTACTTGACTTTTACACAGTTTGCTTTTGCCAGTCTTTTCTAGTACAAGTCACTGGAAACAAGGTTGTGTTGTGATGGTGGTAGGGTGGGTTTTTTTTTTTCCAATTTTACTGCTAGTGTATTCATATTTTAATTGGCACATGTTAGTTGTAAAGGGGGGGGGAGTGTTGTGATATTTCCACACATGTACATAATGTATCCCTACTAACCTTATTCCTCTCTTGCTCTCCCCTCTTCCTCCCTCCTTTTTTTGTGGTGCCATCCTAAGGCTTGAACTCAGGGCCTAGGCACTGTCCCTGAGTTTTTTTTGCTCAAGATTAGTGCTGTACCACTTGAGCCACAGCCCCACTTTTAGCTTTCTGGTGGTTAATAGCGATAAGTCTCACTGACTTCTCAGGCTGGCTTTGAATTATGATCCTCAGATCTCAATCTCCTGAGTAGCTATGATTGCAGGCATGAGCCACCAGTACATGGCTTTCTTCCCCTTCTTAACACCTGAGTTTCAACAAGTTTCACTGTTCTATTTTCATACATGCCAAAACTGGGTACTGGGGTTTGAACTCAGAGCCTCTAGCTTGTATACTAGGTGGTCTACCACTTGAACTACATCCCATTCCTTTTTTTTTTTTTTTTTTTGTGGGGCTTGAACTCTAGGTCTGTACACTATCCCTCAGGTCTTCAGCTCAAGGCAAGCACTCTACCACTTGAGCCACAGCGCCACTTGTGGTTTTCTGAGTGTTTTATTGGAGATAAGAGTCTCGTGGACTTTCTCGCCCAGGCTGGCTTTGAACTGGATCCTCAGATCTCATCCTCCTGAGTAGCTAGGATTACAGGTGTAAGCCACCAGCGCTTGGCTCCCATTCCTTTTTTTTTTTTTTTTTTTCCTGAAGTAAAAGAAAGGTCTTTCAGAGCTGGAGATTTACCTCTGTTGGTAGAGCACTCTGCTTAGCATGTGAAAACTCCTGGGTTTGATCCTGAGCACTACAAAAAAAGAAAAGAAAGTCCTGTCCATTGTAATGTGGACAGGCCACTGTTCCACACTGGGGGCACAAGAACAGTCACACAGCCATCTTGAAGGAAAAACTGACAAGAATCACCTGATGACTTGAAGATAAAAGTGGAAAAACCCAAAGTGGAAAATAACCAGTATTTTGAAACATTTCCAAGAACCTTTTGTTACATTCCCTAAAAATCTGAAGAATAAATTTGTCCATAAATTATTCCTTTTCTTCCCAGGCCTCTGCACTGCCCTATATCATGACTAGTTTTTAAAAGACAGATTGGAAATAAATATTTATTTCAAACTATAAATCTGCAAAAGAAAATATAAAGTGTGAATGTATGTCTATTTTATCCATACAATACTTGCTGCTTTTCCTGTACCAATAAATTTATCCATGCACTAGTAGTTCCCACATGTAATTTGAGGCCAACCCAGGCAAAAAGTTTGTGGAAACACATCTTAACCAATAAAAAGCTGTACATAGTGGCATATGCCAGTTATGGCAGGAAGCTCAAGAGAAGGATCATGATCCAGGGTGATCCAGGGGGAAAAAATGTAAAGCCCTATCTCAAAAACAGAGCAAAGCCAGGCTCCAGTGACTTATGCCTGTAATCCCTATGATCTAGTCATTTTCAGGAGGCTGATATTTGATGATCGAAGTTCAAAGGCAGCCTAGGCAGGAAGGTCCAGGAGATATTTTACAATTAACCACCAGAAGGCTGGAAGAGGAGCTGTGGCTCAAGCACAAGAGATTAGGGACACCTAGACTCTGCCCCAGGCACCAGAATTAAAGGAAGAGAAAGGGAAGGGAAGGAAAGAAAGGACCAGAGTAAAAAGGATTAGAGGTGTGGCTCAAATAACAGTGAGAGGGGAGGGGTATGGGTATGCCCACAGTCTGGCCCTAGGGCTTAAACTGTGGGCCTAGGTACTGTCCCTGAACTTTGGGTTTCTTTTCTTTTTTTTTTCTGTTGGTCATGGGGCTTGAACTCTGGGCCTGGGCGCTGTCCCTCAGTTCTTCAGCTCAAGTCTAGCTAGTGCTCTACCACTTGAGCCACAGTGGTTTATTGCAGATAAGAGTCTCTCAGACTTTCCTACCCAGGCTGGCTTTGGACCATGGTCCTCAGATTTCAGCCTCCTTACTAGCTAGGATTATAGGCATGAGACACCAGTGCCCGGCTTCCCTGAACTTGAGTTAGAGCTCTACCTCTTGAGCCACAGCTCTACTTCTGGCTTTTTGCTGGCTAATTGAAGATAAGAGGTTCAAGAAGTTTCCCACTGGGCTGGCTTCCAACTGTGAATTACAGATCTTAGCCTTCTGAGTAGCCAGGATTATACATGTGAGCCACCAGTACCTTGCTGTTACCACTTTTTTTTTTTTTTTTTGTCGGATGTGAGGCTAGAACTCAGGGCCTGGGTGCTGTCCCTGAGCCTCTTTGGGCTCAAAGCTAGTGCTCCACCACTTAAGCCACAGTGGTATGAGCCACCGGTGCCCAGCTGTTGTTTTTGGTTTTGGGTTTGGGTTTTTTTGTTTGTTTGTTTTTTGCCAGTCCTGGGGCTTGAACTTGGGGCTGGCACTGTCCCTGAGCTGCTTTTGCTCAAAACTAGCACTCTACTACTTGAGCCACAGTGCTACTTCCAGCTTTTTCTATTTATGTGGCACTGAGGAACCCTGAGCTTCATGCATGCTAGGCAAGCACTCTACTACTAAACTGTATTTCCAGCCCATGTTTTTACTTTTTTTTTTCAGTTTTTTTTTTTTTTATTGTGAAAATACCATACAGAGGGGTTAAATTACATGAGCAAGGTCATGAGTACATTTCTTATCAAGCATTGTTGCCTCCTCCTTTGTTTCCCCTTACCATCCCTTCCCATCTTCCCCCCTTTGCCCCCCAT